CTTGGCCCGCATCCGCCCGCCGCGCATCTGCGCTCGCTTAAGAGCCTGGAGCCCGAGGACGAAGTGGAGGACGATCCTAAGGTGACGCTGGAGGCCAAGGAGCTGTGGGACCAGTTCCATAAACTGGGCACCGAGATGGTCATCACCAAGTCCGGGAGGTAGGGCGGCCAGCGGGCGGGCGGGCGGGCGCGCGGGGCCACCGGGCAGCACCGGCCGACCGGTGTTGAACCCGAGGCTGGTGGCTCCCGGCTCCAGCCTGGACGCCACCCTTCGTTTCCGCAGAAACTGAAGTTGCCTTTTCTCGTTTGGCACTTGAACGAATTTCCTGAAACCAAAACATTACAATCTCCCCCAATGAAATAAAGCGAAAATATCCTCCACGAGAGCAGACCCAGCCATTCTGAGTCCCTAAGCGGAGGCGGCCCGGTGACCTGGTCCCCTCTGCCTTGGGTCGGTCCAGTTGGACGGGGAGATGCGGCATCTCCCGGACTTCCTGCACAGATCCTGGGGCCCACCGCGTGTCCCACATCCCGCTAGGCCCACCCAGACCTCGGGTCGTTCACTCTGGTTAGGAACTGCCGGCCCCAGGCCTGCGGAGCCCCTCTGCCTGGCTCAACTAAAAGCCTTGTCAGGGCTGAGTGTGAAGGGTCCAGGATACGCTCTAGCTGCTCCGGGTCATAGAACCAGAAGAAAGCCAGGGTTCCCAAGCCCTCCACTTTCGATTAAGCCCTGGAGAATCCAGGCCTCAGGCTCACCCTCTTCAACCGAACTGCATGGTCAGGGCCCCTTCGGCTCTGTAACCCAGCTCCTAAAATATCCTCCAAATTTATTTCTGAAACGTTCTCATTATGGATTTAGGGGAGACTCCGGAGAAATGTGTGGATTTCCAGAGGGCCTAGATTTGTTTCCTGGGCCTCAGCTTTCTTCTCAGATGGGACAGAAATAAGGTCCCTAGAGCTGCGCATCTGGCCGATGGGGGTTCGGGTGGGGTGTGCTTCTAAATGTAGGGTCCATGGCAGAAATGGGAGCTCCAAGGAATAATAAGTACAGGTGGGGCCTCTAGGACAGTGACAAGGGACAGAGCAGCGATAACAAGCACGAGGGCACGGATGGGGAACCTCTCTCCCCGGAGTAGGGAGACTGAAGAGGAGGGCAGCAGACAAACACCAGGTTCCAGTGGCGCCCTTTCCTTACTTTTCTTGCAGGCGGATGTTTCCCCCCTTTAAGGTTCGGGTCAGCGGCCTGGACAAGAAAGCCAAGTACATCCTGCTGATGGACATTGTGGCTGCTGATGACTGCCGCTACAAATTCCACAACTCTCGCTGGATGGTGGCAGGCAAGGCTGATCCAGAGATGCCCAAACGCATGTACATCCACCCAGACAGCCCAGCCACAGGCGAACAGTGGATGGCCAAGCCCGTGGCCTTCCACAAGCTGAAGCTAACTAACAACATCTCAGACAAGCATGGCTTTGTGAGTGTGTGGCTGTGGGGTGGGGGTCTGAGACTGCACACCAGTGTCTGGAGGGTGAGCTAGGAGGTGGGCTTCACCCTCTGTCAGAGAGGCCTAGAAGCCCCCAGAATGGGGCTCAAAGCCCTGAGGCCTAGCAGCTGGCCTAGGGAGTTCCTTTCCCCAGGGCTGGAGGAAGGCAAGAAGCTCCATGACCTTGGCTGCGGTCAGGGTTTTGAGGGCCAGACAGGAGGCAGGTACTGGACTGAGGGTAGCAGGTAGCCCATGCCTTGTGTCTGGGGGTGTCACCCTCCTCATTATCTGTAAGTGTTGAGATCAGAAGACCTGTCCACCGCCTTGGCCTTGGCTTTGGCTGGTTCCTTGTCATTCCCAAGCCTAATGTCCCCACCCTCTCCTAAAGGATTTATAAGTTAAATTAGCCGCCTCCTGAGAGACCCCATCAGGAAGATGTGGGTTTAGGGGATCTCCCCTTTCTCTCCTGTCTCTGGCCAAGGCGCTAGTCAGTGCGGGATGAGGTTCATGGGGGAAAGGGAACCCTCCATCCCACGGAAAGGTGGTGAGGTCTTTTTCCCATTGGGTTTCTAGGCGCTGGGGGACTTGTTTGGGTTGGGTTTCAACTGTGGAGAAATTTAACATTGAGAGGTAAAAAGAGAGAAATGGTGAGAAACGATTCTGAGCCAGAAAATAGAAGAAAAAGAAATAGAGAGAAAACCAGCAGAAAGACAGGAGAACCACAAGGAAGGCGGTGGAGAAAGGCATAGCCCGGAGAAACGGAGAAACAGAGCGTCAGACAGGAAGGGGGAAAGAGGTACCCCACCCCGCAGTAGAAACGCTCAGGCTAACTGCCGGCTGGGGCTGCTGACTGACCCTAGCGCTCCCTGCAGACCATCCTGAACTCCATGCACAAGTACCAGCCGCGCTTCCACATCGTGCGCGCCAACGACATCCTGAAGTTGCCCTACAGCACCTTCCGCACCTATGTGTTTCCAGAGACAGACTTCATCGCCGTCACTGCCTACCAGAACGACAAGGTGTGCGGGCGGGAGGGCCCAGTCCCTGAACCGACCTTCCACACGTGCAGGCACTAACCCTTCACTCACGCCCAGCCCTGCACCCTCTTGGCATGGTGCTCAGGACCCACTCTTGAGCACCAGGTCTCCTATCCATAGGTGCAGCACCCACCACCATCCTGCCGGCCCTCCCAGGCCCGCAACATGTACACACACGCTCCCCCAGGCTGGAGAGCAGCTGGGGTGGAGATGTTTACTTAGCAATTAGTAGAGGCTCCAGGCCCGACTGACATTTTTACATTTGATTCCATTATTTCTTGACTGGGGAAGGAAACTTGAATAAAAAAAGATTCCTGGGAGCAATCTGCTCTGGCTTTGCAAACGAATGAGAGGGAACCAGGGCCCAGTGTTCATCCCCCTGGGGGAGCCAAAGGGCAGGCTAGGGGACACTGGCCCCCAAGCACCACAGGCTGTTGCTCTGGGTCTGGTCCCCACTGCACGCTGGCTTCTAGTTGAGTAAAGCACCCTCCGCACCAGGCTGGCCGTCCCTGTGTCCCTGTGCCTTCTCTCTCTCTGTCGGGACGGCATTCTGCCCGTGGGTGTGTGTGACTTCCTTTGGTTTCCCTGGGCACTTGTTTGTACTGCTGGGGGTCTGCGTGCAAGCGGGTCCGTGAGTGCGATGGTTTGCCTTGGCCGGCTGTGTGCGCTGTCCCTGTGCACGCCTGCTTCTTGCGTGACAGCGCGGGGTGTTTGTGTGGGTACTCAGGCGATTTCCACTCTGTGCCCACAGCTTTGGGCCTGTGTGTACGTGTTGTGAGGGTTAGTCCTCGAATACGATTTTTGGATTTTTGTTGGAGACGCTGTGCTGTGACATTCCACAAGCCACGCCTGGCTGGGGACAGTCATCTCAGGGTCCCAGGGAGGCCCTGGCGTCAGCCGACCGTGTGACACACACACCCCTGTAACACCCCCCCATCCCCACCCCACCCCGTGGCTGGGAGCTGCTGGCCTCCCGAGACCTTGTTTGGGCTGGAAGCGCCTAGTTCTGACCCCGCGCGCGCCTCCATCCCCCCAGATCACGCAGCTGAAGATCGACAACAACCCGTTCGCGAAGGGCTTCAGGGACACGGGGAACGGCCGGCGGGAGAAAAGGTGAGGGGTGGCCGGGCAGCTCCGCGGCGGGTGCAGGGTGAGCAGGACTTGTAGGGAGGTGCGCCCAGCTAATTTCCCCGTTTGTCCCCAGGAAGCAGCTGACACTGCCATCTCTGCGTTTGTACGAGGAGCACTGCAAGCCGGAGCGCGACGGCGCCGAGTCTGACGCCTCGTCCTGCGACCCTCCCCCCACGCGGGAGCCACCACCCTCACCCGGCGCCGCGCCCAGCCCTCTGCGCCTGCACCGGGCCCGAGGTGAGGGCCCCGCAGCGAGGCAGTGGGGATGGGGTAGACGCGCCAGGCTGCCCTCGGCGCCGCAGCCGAGCAGCGCGCGGGCTGGGAAGCGTGTGGGTTGGGCCTGGGGTGTCCACCCCAGCACTCCCTCCTGAGGGTGGTCCCTGGGAGCCGCAGAAGGTAGAGCTGGACGCAGGGCAAGGCCCTCCAGCGCTGTGTGATCCTGTGGCGCTGCGGTTTCCTCTCCAGGGCACAATCCCTTCCATTATAAACACGGGGTCTGGGATTAGGTGACCTGCAGCTGCCCCGGGCCTAACTAGGACCTAGAAACCCTTCCGGAAGAGCAGGAATTGACCAGTCTCCCCAAAGGGCGCGCGCGCGCACACACGCACGCACGCACACCGGGAGAGGGTTTGGTCTGTTTCCATCCCGGCCTCTGATCCACCACTCATCTCTCCCACAGCCGACGAGAAGTTGTGCGCTGCAGACAGCGACCCTGAGCCTGAACGGCCGGGGGATGAGCGGGCCGGGACCGCGCTGGGCCGCCGCAGCCCCGGCCTGGACGGCGCCAGCCCCGCTCGTTTGAACGAACCGGAGCGCACTCGCGAGAGGCGCAGCCGCAGCCCCGATCGGGGCAAGGAGCCGCCTGAAAGTGGCGGGGATGGGCCCTTTGGCCTTCGGGGCCTGGAAAAAGAGCGTGCCGAGACCCGGCGGAAGGACGAGGGGCGCAAGGAGCCCAGCGAGGGCAAGGAGCCAGGCCTGGCGCCGCTGGTGGTGCAGACTGACAGTATGTCCCCCTTGAGCGCCGGACACCTGCCTGGCCTGGCTTTTTCGGGCCACCTGCACGGGCAGCAGTTCTTTGGGCCTCTCGGAGCCGGCCAACCACTCTTCCTGCACCCGGGACAGTTTGCCATGGGCCCTGGTGCCTTCTCCGCCATGGGGATGGGTCACCTGCTGGCCTCGGTAGCGGGCGGCGCTAGCAGTGGAGCCAGTGGGCCTGGGGCCGCTGGCCTGGACACAGGTGGGCTGGGCCCCGCAGCTGGCGCAGCAGGCACCGCGTCCCCCTTTCCGTTCCACCTCTCCCAGCACATGCTGGCATCTCAGGTAAGGCCTGTGCTCTGGTGGCAATAGGGTGGAGGGAGGAGAAACACGCCAGCCACAAGAGTGGGCTGAGGGTTCAGGGTTCCAGCTACTCTCAGGGCCTCCAGCAGCTGAATTCTGCAGAGTAGCCTATAGGGGATTTCCACCACAGCTGGGGCCTGGGAGATGGAGGCTGCAGGCCCAGGAATATGGCCAAGTCCTTACTTCTGACTCCTGTGTGACCTTCATCTAGTCTGAACCTTCTCTAGGCTCCAGTATTCTCCCCATGCCCCTACCTGCTCTGGCAGACTGGAGCAGCCTCTGGCATTTGTGAAGGGGCACACTTTCCTAGCCGCAGAGAACTTTCATTGGAAACTGAAGCTCCTGGCCCCCTCCAGTCCCTGAAAGGTCAGGATGACTAGACAAAGAAAGGAGAAAGATTTGCAATGTTTTCTGGACCACTGGCCACCCAAATGCCCAATCCTGTGAAGACTGCAGGAAGCCCTCCAGTCTGACAAAGATCAAAGACCTTTCTCAGGTCCCCCAGCACCCTGAGTAGTCTTTGTCCCATCTCAGGGAACGGGGCTCAGCTCAGAAGCCCAGGTTAAAATTCTGAGCCCCCAGGGGAGATTTTATGAAAATGTGCCATGGGCAAAATAAGGAGATCGGGTGTGGAAAGCAGCCTCTTGAGTTGCTTGGGTGGAATATTCCCTGTGGAAAGATTTGGAGTCTCTTCATTCATTTGCTTCCCTCTGAGGTTTCTGGCAAATTGAACCTTTGAGATCTTATCTCAGGGGAAGGGAAAATAGGAGTTCAGGTCTTCCAATATTCAGTTGGTTCAGCTGCAAATAGTTTTAAAGTGGGGGGATATTCTAAAACGAATTTTAAACAGAGCTCAGTGACAGGGGTGTGGAGACACCAGCATCACATATCTGGGACCCTGGGCTGGAGAAGGGTGCCTTCAGAAGGTAGAATCCAGGGCCTGGGGGGTCTCTGTGTGTGATGTTTCCTGCTCCCTCAGCAAACTCTGGAGAGAACAGTAGTCATCACAGAGATCACAGGGCAGTCAGGACTGCTAGTCAGGGGGCAGGTGCAAGGTGAGGGTTAGCCACCCAGCCCTTAGAAGGTAACGCACCCTGGCAGAGCCAAATCCTAGGAGATCAGCAGCCCCATTCCCCATTCCTTCCTTCTGGCCAGGCCATACCTATAGTCCTGGAATGCCCAAGAGGTTCTGGAGCTCTCCTGCAGGCCATGTCCTCACTCCTGAATAAGCCAGGCCTGAGGGTCCCAGTAGCACATCCGCCTGCCCCCACCACGCTTGTTCTCTAGGGAAGGAGCCATCATCTCAAAGGTCAGAGAATCCAAAAGTTGGACCTCATGGACACGCCTTGTTGGTCCAGTGTTTCCTGGCCATGGACTTGGCCTTCCCTCCTCAGTGCCCCTGGGATGCCACCAGGAAGTCCTTATAGAATATTCAAGCCAGTCACTAACTAGCTTAGCATCATTCCCTCCTCCTGGCCCAGGTAGCAGCCCCCCACCTCCCAGCACGCAGGCTGATAGAAGAGAATTTGCCAAGCTCCCTGCTCCTGCTGGTGACGTCTATGGGCACCTGGGAGCTTCTGTAGCCAGGAGAAGCTGGAGGACCCTGTTCTAAGCTGCCCTTTGCTGCCTGGTCCTATGCCTCTTTGTTTCCTCCCTCTAGGCCCCATGGTGTGAGCCTGAGTTCAGCCACCTGGTTCTTTCCCTCAGTCATCCCTACTGCAGTGCCAGTACAGGGCTTGATGGCATGGGGCCTTAGTCTTTCTGCCTGAAGGCAACTCCTGTGCTGACAGCAGGCAGGGAAGCACACTGGTTCATGCCTGCGTTGTGCTGTCTGGGAATGTAGTTAACAGAGCTATGGGTTGATGGCCTCACAATAGCATGGCAACATTTCCCAGTGTTAGCACCACCCTTCTACCCCCAGCCCACCCTCCAGGAAACACCTCCTGCAGGCTGCCTCACCCTTGCCCTGTTCTCTTTTCTCCAGGGAATCCCGATGCCCACTTTCGGAGGCCTCTTCCCCTACCCCTACACCTACATGGCTGCAGCTGCCGCCGCGGCCTCCGCCTTGCCGGCCACCAGTGCGGCGGCCCCCCCCGCTGCCGCCGCAGCCGGCTCCCTGTCCCGGAGCCCCTTCCTGGGCAGTGCCCGGCCCCGCCTGCGCTTCAGCCCTTATCAGATCCCGGTCACCATTCCACCTAGCAGTAGCCTCCTCACCACCGGACTGGCCGCTGAGGGCTCCAAGGCCGCGGGTGGCAACAGCCGGGAGCCCAGCCCGCTGCCCGAGCTGGCTCTCCGCAAAGTGGGGGCGCCGCCCCGCGGTGCTCTGTCGCCCAGCGGCTCAGCCAAGGAGGCGGCCAGTGAACTGCAGAGCATCCAGAGACTGGTGAGTGGGCTGGAGAGCCAGCGAGCCCTCTCCCCCGGCCGGGAATCGCCCAAATGAGGACCCGGCCAGCCGCGCCACCGCCAACACGCAGGCCTCCCCGCCGCCGGCCCTGCTGCTTGGGACACGTACGGCATAGAATGGGTATTTATTTAAATAAAGGAGCAGAGGTGGGATGCAGGAGCTGAGACAGCTGAGCCTGGGACAGCTTCCTGGGCTTCTACGTGGAACACGGCTGCCCGGACCATTGCGCTCGATCCGGATCTATTCTGGTGTAGTTGATATCGGTCAGGGCCCTCTCTGCCCCCCACCTCCACCCCCATCCCCACCCCCGACCTGGCCCAGAGGTTCCTTCAGGAGCAGCAAGGGGAAGGGGCCAGGGCTGAGCACCCCAGACACAGCCCCACAGCTCCTGGCCTCTGGCCTGCACCGCGTTGGGGGCTGGGGTCACAGAAGACTGACATCAGTGTAAGTCTTGGGCTGGGGGCTCTAAGGAGACGCCCTAACCTTGGGGGCCCCCACCCCCATCTCCTCCCCTAAGAGATAGCCACCCCTCCCATCCTTGGGTCTGTGGAGGGAGCAGCACCCCTGCCTTGAGTCCCCAGGGGAGGGGGGAAAGATATTTATGAAATAAATGGTAATTTGTGTAAATAAGCTTTAAGGTTCCCAGAATATGCAAATTGGTATTAACTTATTCAAAGGTGTACATTGTTATGTACATACTATTTAGAGATGAACTCCTAGCATTTAAATCTTTTTTCATCTGACATGAGCATCTATCTTGTACAGGGGCTGGGGCCGCAGGCGCAGGCCCTGCGCCCCTCGGAGCCCTCGCCCCGCCGGCCCCTCGGCCCCTCCGCCCGGGCTGTCCTCGCCAGAGCCCGCGGACTCCACCTCAGGGTTTCACTTTCCGCTGCGGAGCGAGAACGAACGACAAAACCGCGAGAAAACAATAAAACGCTGCAATGCGAAGTGAACGGCGCTGTGCGCTCTGTGGGCCGCGGGGGCTGGGCGCGGGACGCGCGGGCTGGAGGGAGGGGTCGGGGAGGGCGCGCCCCCCCCCTGCAAGGCTGGCGGGCTGCGGGGCCTGGCGGCGCCGGCGAGGAGCCCGGCTGGGCGCGGAGGCGCCGGCCCTCCTAGCGCCCCCCGCGCCGGCCGGGCTCCCCCTGCTGGCCGCCGGCGCTCGGTGCAACCCTGCTAACTGGACGCCTCGGCCGGGCCGCGAAGCTAGCGGAGCACCACGCAGTGGCCTGGACGCTGGGCTCCGGAGTCGGAAATGGGGCACCCGTCGGGGTGGGGGGAACCTCCCCTCCCGAGGGCTCAGAGGATAATCCTAGAGGGGGGAACACATTCCATTTCAGCGCCTCCGGGAGGGCGCCGGAAGGTGGGTGCCCCCTGATCTCTCCTTTCTAAGAGGGCCCCGGCTCTGGCTCTCTGAGCCACAACACACTCCCGTTTTGCCCGTTAAACTTCAAAGAGAAACATCATGGGCAGTTCTTCCTCTGGCCTTCTCGAAACAAGCCGCTTGGGGTGTGCATCCCGAAGCTTTCCCCTTCCCGGTGGGCGGGCGAGCGGGCGGGGGTCTCACTGAGTTAGGACCCCTCTCTACGCGGTCCTGCGGGGACATCTCCGCGGTCCTCCCACCCGCACCCTGGGTGCTAAATGGGACGTGTCCCCTTGCTTCTCACTCAGCCAGCATCTTGCTAGCCCTGTGGAATTTCTTGCCGACGCCCTGGCAGAATGGGCTGCCCATCTTGGGCACTATGAGGGCAAGGGCTGGCCCCTAACTCAGCCGGAGCAAGGGGAGGGGGTGGCGCTGGGTGCAGAACGGAGTGTGTCCAGGCCTCCATGTAGGCAAGTGTACCTTCGTGAGCCGCCCCATGTGCGCGGAAAGCACGTGGCCACGCCGACTTCAGGCTGGAGGGGTGGGGGGCTGGGCTCGGCCAGTGACGAGAGGGGGCGTGCGGAAGAGCCTGCCTCGGACTTGCCCTGCGCACCGGGAAAGGCTCGCCCAGGAGGCCGGCGGCGCAGGAAAGGCCCTCTGCCCGCTGAAGCCGTTTCCCGGGGAAGCGTGTCCTTTTGAGGTCTGCGTTAAAGGTGCCGCTGCAACCCGAAGTTCCTTCTCACCCGAAGCTTCTCAACCCGAAGCTGCTGCTCACCTAGCGCGGGGCCCTAGCCCAGAGCCCGGACGCGCCGCAGACACCGGGTGGCAGCGCCGACCGCAGGCTGCCGGGGGAACTGCAGGCCAACCGGGAAGAGACCCCAGGAGGGTCTGCGGGGAAAATCCGGCGGGGATGAGATTGGGGGGGTGCGGTGGCACTCCGGGGGTCCCCCGCGCCCCCTCACACGGCCCCCGGCACAGCCGCTCCGCAGTCCTCTTGCGGGCGCTCGGCCGCGCCCCAGTTGCGAGCGTGAGCGGGGCAGCGGAACCGTGCGGCACATCTCGTCTCAGACAATGGCCAGGCTGCTCCCCGGCCCAATTAGTCCACCGGCATGCAGCCTCTATTGTCCCCAGGGTCGCCAATTAGCCCAGGCACCCAGAATGCCCGCCGGCCCGAAGGCTCAAGGCTTCCTTAACCCTTCGGGGACTGGCACCGCTAGGCCTGGACAGCGAACGCGCAGCGCTCCCGCGTGTGCTCGAGGCTCGTGGGGGTGGCGGACAGCGAGGCTTGTTGGTGACTGTGCATGTTGCCATCCATCGCTGGGTGTGTACGGAGAGTGTGGGGCCTGAGCGGAACCCTGTGTTTCACAGGGGAGAGGAGTGTGGGAGACCTCCAGCGGCTCCCCGGCCTAAATCCTGGGCCCCAAACCACCAACAATCGAAACCCGGTTCGGTTCCCAGGATTCTAATTCCATGCTGGGCAACCCCAAGTGTTACTGAGCAGGAGCGGGGCCATAACGTTTTTCTTGGCTGTGATGGGACAAATGGGTCGTATTTCCCTGTTAAAGAGGAGACCTGGTGGTGCAGCGGCTAAAGCCCCCCCCCCCTTCGTGGGAGAGAGATGTGGACGTCAGCTGCCCTAAAGACAGACAGACAGCCTTGGAAACCTTATTGGGGCACTTCTCTTCAACCGTAGAATCACTCTGAGTCGGAATTCACTGGACGGCAATGTATTCACCAGGGTTTGGCTGGGTCACTATGAGTCAATTGACAAGATCTACTGACATAATAAGTTACCATAACCGCAAGGTCAGCTGTTCAATCCTCCAGAAGCAGCAGTCTGCTCCTGGAAACCCTAGCGAGCAGTTCTACCACGTCCTGTAGGGTGGGTGGCCATGCGTCCAATCAAATGGCTAGCTCCCAGCCGCGCAGGGACGCTGCCTCATGAGACTGGGCAGGACGGCCCAGTGAGTTTCTGAGACTAATGCACTACTCATCTTTCTCCCGTGGAGCGGCTGGTAGTTTCAAACTGCCGACCTTAAGAATTGTAGCCCAATGGGTAACCACTAACGACAAGGGCTCCTGCAAATGGATGCCAGTGGTTATTAATAGACCACAAATTAATATTCATACACACATAGCCAGTTGGCAACCATCCAAAGATATGGACTAAGCGACCTGGTGATCCATTAAATTACAGCCAAGGAAAGAAAAAAAAAGATTACAGCCAAGAAAACCCGAAGGAACTGGTCAACGTGGTAACCGGAGTCGCCATGCATTCGGGTTGACTCCGCAGCACCAAACGACCCGCTTTCTGCCCTCAGACTGCCAGGCCTCCCTTCTGCACCCAGCTTCCCATTAGCAGCCTAGTTTCCATTAGTCCAGAAGTTAACCGTTTGTGTGCTGACATTAATCCCTTCTGACCGACACCTCGTCAGTCACTGGGAGTCTTCCGAGCCAAGTCCCCAAGACGTTCCTTCTCTCTCCCGCCCCGCCCCCCCATGTGCGGAGGAGGAACTGTGCGAAGGACGCCCGCCCTTTACGTCCCAGCTTGGGGCTGGGGCGGCCACTTCTCGGGCACTGGATGGTTCCGGTCGCAGAGTCGAAAGGAGATGGAGGCTTAAACTCTGAAGTGCTCCTTCCTCCATTGGGCAGGACAGCAAAGCCAATCCCTCCCTCCTCCGAGTCCGCCCTGGAACCCCTGGGCAGGCAAGGTCCGGCTCGCGGCTGGGCGCTCTGGGCTCGTACTCGCCCCTGGGACTGGTGGACCAGAGGGCAGACTGGGCCGTGCAAAAGGGCGGGAGTGCCCTCGGCAGTGCAGCGTGGCCACCACTCGCTGAATCGAAGAGTTTTCGTGGTTCTCCGGAGGCGCGCAGGGGCGGCACCCTACTACCTACCACACCTGGCCGATCAGTGGCGGCTGGCTCCCCGACCCCTCCTCCCGGGGCTGCGGGCCGCTCGGGACCCGGGGAGAGGCGGAAGCCCGCCTCGCCCGCGACGACTCCCCACTCGCCCACCAGGTGGCGCTCCAGGCCAGAGGCCGGCGCCGAGCAGCCCGCAGTGAGGTCCCCTCGGCGGCGCACGGAGGCCGCGCCGCCCGCAGACCTGGATGCAGACGCATCGGCCGCCGAGGGCCCCGGGCTGCGGCGGAGCGGGAGTGCGGCCCGGGGCCGGGCGGGGAGCAGGTGGTCGCGAGGGGCCGCGCTCCAGGACTGGGCTGCTCCGCGGCGCCTTGGGGCCGGCCTGCTGCGCCACCTCCCGGGCCTGCGAGGCGCTGCAGCGAACGGGCCACGGTCCCACTGTGAGCCGGCTGCGTCGGCCCCCTGCGGGCCGGGCCTCGCTCCGGAGCCTGAGCCTGAGCCTGGCCTCTCAGCGCTGGCACTACGCACCGGCTGGCATCTCAGAGGAGGAGTCCAGCTGCTGGGGCCAGGCGTGGGGGCTGTGTCTGGCTGAGGGGCGGGCCACAGTGCTCCTGTCGCCATGAGCCCCGCCGGGGCTCACCCCCACTTCCTGGCCACCCCAAATCCGCCCTCAGGGGCGGAGCCCAGCAATGTGCGGGGTGGGTTCCACGGGGGTGAGGGCGGCACTGAGGAGCCTCTCCCCTGGGATCCCCTCCCCTATTGGGAGGTGGCATAGAATGGGGAGGGCCCCTGGGGTCAACCAGAGCGCTTCTCCCACTGAGTGGGTGGGC